GCAATAATGGCCGTAAAATATTCGGATAAATAATGTAAAAATTCCGCGTTAATCAGTAGGCTGGCATTGGACACAGTGCTTTGTCTCTTTGATTGAGACGGGTTCGACGTGATGAATATTGATTTATGAGTAAAATAAAAATAGTGGGGTGAACTGAGCGTGAGTGAATTAATAAGTTTGGCTTAAGCTGGTCCACTCTGTAACCGTGGTTTGTATTGGTGCCGTTAATTTGAATATGAGCCATATTCGATCTCAGAATTTTTTTTGTAGTTACTTTAAAATGCTGGCATTCTGGGGCGTTACAAAAGGTTTGCCTATGGCCTCTCTTTTGCACATACGACAAAATGTGCCTTCCCAGCAGTAACCACGTAGCCTGGCCTTTGGTTACCATAGTGTATCAACTCTCGCTTCATTACAAATACAATTATTATCAGAAATTATTGTCGTCACAAAAACTGAATAATTGGAAAATTCAATCACATTGGCCTTCGCCCTGTATTAAAATGTTGCTTTCTTTCTAGAAAGTTCGATTTCGCCATATATGGGCGTGGAACATTTTATAAACTTATAAAATTAGCCTCGATGCTACTGCCTACATAACTTAAAATATTAAATTAACATACTTGTAACGATGAGTTGTGATGTGGATAATATATTGACGCAATTACTGACCAGCACGGTAACACACAACTTATACAGTACAGTTACTCCTCAGGGCTCTATTTCTTAGTTACTGATTTAGTAACGCCATGTATGGCCCGTTATATTTCATTATGTTCTATCACATTTTGCCAAAAATTTTCCGCCAAAAGTAGCACATTTAGCTTACAATTCTTTACTAGTGCAAACTGAGCGCTTTTATGGAACGACAACTCTTACCTTGGTGGCCTGCAATGCCTCTTCTTGGGAGTTGTCCTCTTCTTATCCACTTTGTCGCCATAATGTGGAGTAGAGATCTTTTGAGTTTGTCTTGTCTTGCTTCTGAGGTATTCTCTCTGTCCTTCTCGGAGTTCGTCAGAGAGATAGCCGTCTGTAGGATTCGTCTTCCTTGATTGTCTTAACTCGTTACTGTGTGGGAAAGTTCTTTTAGAATCAGAGTCTCGTTTCAGTCTCCAATTTGTAGGAACCTCCCGTGGGAGTAACTACTAACTAGTCACTAGGTCTACGCAATTTATAGGGCTCCATCCTATAAGAACCAGTATAGGATCTAACTACGCCTGGTATATAGTACTGACTACAAGTCTTAATAACTTGCGGTCTAACTACTAGTAGCTAGAGCGCTCTAATGATGACTAGCTTGAGGGTCTTCGGGATCGATAGTCTCCACCAGTATGGTGTTACTCTAATTCGCCAAGAACTTGTATCCTCCTGAAACTGTACGAGTTAAGCTTGTGATTAAATACGACTTTCTGTGTCAAGGACTCAAATTTACTGGTGGCAATGCACACTTTTAGTAATTGTAACGACTCAACTTTCAATCATAGTCTCAGAGACTTGCAGTATAGCAGTTTTAGCAGTTGTAGTGTAAGCGATTAATGACAGTATATGAAAAGACCAGCAGAACATCTGGTCATCACGGTAAGTAGTATCAAGTATCATAGTATAGTACAATAAAATATAGTATCGACCTAGCTAACCGACCTTAGGATGAGTGGGAGGGGTGGACAGTTGAAGAGCTGGTTCTCTAATCTGCATATCGCCACCGCAGCTTAAAGAGTCGACTTTCCTCAACAAGTCCGGAGATGAGTCTGATCGCTGGCCGGAGATGAGTCTGATCATCTTCAGTCGCACGGAGGCAGAATCAGGACGTCATCTTAGGGATAAGGGCAGGAACAGAGTAGAAGTGAAGAGATCCAGAGGTTCAGTGTCGGAACGATCGGAGGCCGAGTGACCAACTCGAAGTTGGAATAATGGAACTGAGTAGAAGTGGGGAGAAGTCCAGGTCGTCATCTCGAATAGTCTCCCAGGTTCTGTTAATTTACCGTTTAAACTCAGAGGTCCGCTAATTAATTGGTCGTATCAGCTCGGTTTGTCTCGTCCTGTCCCGGTGCACTGAAATATGAGATTTCGCCGTCAGGACACCGGTTCGGGGGCTCCGTGATTGGTTGCTATTCGTACGGTTGCTGCGGTGATTGGCGCGCTCCACAGTTTGATGGGAGCCTCATTACTGCAACTCTTAATGAGTTTTCATTCGCTCCTAGGCAGGTGTCCCGTCCGGTCCATCACGGTATGAACTAGGTATGAAGTGTAAGTGTCAACTCCCAGTGCTCAGTTATTAACTGAGCGACAAAAAGAATAGGGGGCCGAGGTTCTTACAACTATCAACTGACAGAACGACAATAAAACAACTTCTTGGAAACCAATATAAATAACAAGATAGATAACGAATAGCAAAACTAAAAACACATCGGACACTAGAACACTACACTGATTTTACAACTAATTTTCAAAAATCTAAAACTTACCAAATTCAAAATAAATTAATCCACCATAATATAATTTGGTAAACTTAAGAAATCGCGATAAATAGGCTTCATTAAAAAACATGCACCCGCCAGCGGTTTGTTACTATATTTAACTTCCGAACTCGTAGAAATATTCTCTCGAGGATTTTACACAAATCAGCTGCTAAATTTCTATATTTGTTAGTTGTAATTTAGGAAATACTGATCTGACGAATGTTCAATCTGAAACTTAGTCGGTCACGTTCGTCATCTATCATCGTCATCCTCCTCTCTTTTCTTCTTCTTGGGCGTAACTGAGTCTCCAGCGAACAACCTGGCAACCGCCCCAAATGTTTTCATTATGTCCGGGAGATCGTAAGTCTGAGACAAGTGGACACCATACACGTAACTAACACCGAATGAGAATGAAAAGAGTGCAGCTTTGCGAAAAGACATTTAGGAGAGAGAACTTTCCAGAGGACAGTGATTTACAAACGGTGTTTTTGATGAAGGAGCAGTTCAGCACCGCCGGTTATGAGTAATGTAGAGGTGGAGCAGCAGCTAGTAGTGCAGCAACTTACATATAGATCTCAATCCATGGCTTGTAGACAGATCATTAGTCCAAACTGTAGAATTAGCTACAGTAGCTGGTGTTGTAATAGTTAATATTCAATACAATACTATATAACATAGTTCTAAACAGAATGGTGAATTAGGAACATCTTCTAAATTATTGTAAGAATTAAGATACCTTACACTTAATAATTATTCTGAGTTCTTTCAATTTTGACAGGTATAGTAGTTGATAATACAGGGTGGCCCATAAGTGACTACCCACACGCAACCTCTTAATAACTCACGTAATTCGTCTCCAAATTGCACCAAAATTTCAGAGATTATAGATATGGGTCAAACTTAGATTTCCTGAAAGTTTCGTAAGCCACGCCCAATTACAGTGGGCGTGGCGTGACACTCCCTCTTTTTCACTATTGTCTTCATAAAATGAGAACGCTTTAAGCTAAGAACTCAAACTTTTTTGCACACATTTGGCTTGATAATTGAAAACTTTTCCCAAAGTTTCAAGTTCATTGGTTAAAATATGGCTAAGTTATGACCATTTCAAAACTCATCGGATACGTGATCCGAGCACTCAGTCAGTGATCTCGTCACTTGGTTAATGGCCTGTTTGGCTCACATGCACCGCTTGATTGGTTGCAGCCTGCTTATGGGCCGGCCTATACAGCTGACAGCACCTAAAACGCTATCACACGAATTTATGGTGGTGTCACCATTTCAGGGCTTGTTAGCCCTGCTAGTCACAGGTTCCTTACAATCAATAAAAAGGAATGAACCATCCATAGAATCATCGAAAATGGTTCACTATCCTCCCTTTACTGCAGAACAACGATTGTTCGTCAACCTGAAGAAAAAAAATGGGGTGTTCTACCCTCAGATTAAACGACAATTTCAGATGAAATTCAACCGACCACCCCCTTGCCGGAAAAGCTGCTTTGACTTTCATCACAAGATCAAGTTTACGTTTTCTGCACACGATCGAAGAGTCGGCAGAAGACGAACTTCGAGGACTGTAGAAAACATCACGATGGTTGTTGGTGACGTGATGGACACACCTAAGATTGGCACCCGGAAACGAGCTCCTGCCTTAGACATCAACAGAACAACCCTTCAGCGAATCCTAAAGCAAGACCTTTCTAACCGGGCCTACCGAATCACAAAGAAACACAAACTTTTGGACCGTGATTTCCAATCGAGGATAGATTTCGCCAACACATTCCTGTCGAAGCAGAATGTGGATCCCTACTTTGAGGTTGATTTCATTTATTGATTTATCCTAAAAATTTGTGTTTTCCTTTCTAGCAAAGTCATCATCGGTATCCAATCAAAGCCTAATGAACCTCATTAATACACGCTAACGCCTTACTCTTGATCAGATTGGGTGACGAGATCACTGATTGAGTGCAGAGATCACTGACTGAGTGCTCGGATCACATATCCGATGGATTTTAAAATGGTCATAACTCAGCCATATTTTAACCAATGAACTTGAAACTTTTGGAAAAGTTTTCAATTATCAAGCCAAATGTGTGCAAAAAATTTTGAGTTCTTAGCTTAAAGCATTCTCATTTTATGAAGACAATAGTGAAAAAGAGGGAGTGTCACGCCACGCCCACTGTAATTGGGCGTGGCTTACGAAACTTTCAGGAAATCTAAGTTTGACCCATATCTATAATCTCTGAAATTTTGGTGCAATTTGGAGACGAATTACGTGAGTTATTAAGAGGTTGCGTGTGGGTAGTCACTTATGGGCCACCCTGTACGTCTGATTTATTGCTAAATTTCATATATCATTTTGTCATTTGCATTGAAGAAAATGGGTCTTGAAAATCATCTTTCTGCCATCGGACTTGCACTTTTAAAGTGTAATTCAAGACTAAAGGAATTGATAATAATTTAGATTCATGAATCATTACATATAGATGTAAATTAGTTTAGTACTATTATGCTAGTCAAATAGTCTGAAATTGAACATCTTGGTGAATGAATAATGAATCGAAGAAGTAGAAATACACGAACAATTATTTACGATACAAGTCTCCCAATATATTTGCACCTAAAGTTCCCCTCCGCTAAATGGGACCACTGAACCAAAACATGGTCAGCGAATAAAACTAGAATCTTAGCAGAAAGTGACAAAGTCTTGACCCTGCAAATACTCTCCACGTAAACAATCCTCCCCTTACACACCCCCAACACTCTCAATAGAAACACCATTACACAAACAGGGATACAAGTTCCAGGTCCGTTAACGAGCAGCACGTCAGGTCGCGCGTGCACCACGTGCGGTACACAGAGCAGTTGCGAGTACAGGGTTGTTAACACTGACGACACGTAGGACTGTCCCACCTCACGAGCCCTGGGTATCTTTGATATTACCACACTTTGTCCGGGTATTCTACCTAGGTACCCTTCAGGTACCTGTCTCCGGTACCCTGCCTCAAACAGCTCTATCTTGTTATGACTCATTTTATCTGTATCTGCTACGATATAGTGTCTCGGATTGTAATTCACAGACGGTGTTTTTGATGAAGGAGCAGTTGTAGCGGCGGTTAGTAATTGTAACAGCTCAGCAGTGTGACCGCCTGATCCAGCAACGGTTAACAGGCGAACTGGTTGTGAAGGGAGAGAGGGGAGAAAGGGCGGAGTGTCGTTGTAATGAATTTGAAACAGAACGTAGAGTAGCCGCGTGAAGAGGACCACAAATAGCATGCCGCATACCGAACATAGCATCCTGGGTGCACGGCATTAGAGTATGGAATATATTGTACTTTTCTCATTTTAAACCAGGGCTTAATTTTAATCATGTTGTAGACTACTATACTGACTATCAGATTTTATAATTCTGAACATTTTATAACATTAACGTGTACGTGATCGTGAATTTTGAATAACTTTGAGAAATATGGGAATATGATTATTACAGTAGTAATTACACCTCCTTAATCCTTATGGGGAGGTGAAGTAGTTTTCTTTTTGACACAAGCGAAGAATTTTAAGATATAGCTAGTCGCATGTGAGATGTCGAGTTGACCAGTAAAATAGTAAGGGAAGTCACCTTTCCTTTTCAAAACATTTCACTTTCTCCAGTAAAATCAGAAATAATACAACAGTATTTGATACAAAACACTAATTTTACTAATTCATATATGTGAACGGACTTTCTAGTGCATCAAGGTTATCAACAGAAATGAAGAAAAGTTGTATAAACAAATGAATCAATTAGTAAGTTAGACTTATCAATTAGTAAGTTAGACTAATAATTGAATTTTACCTAGAGGAAGATAAAGATGCAATTAAATGACCAAAATTCAAATAATACGATTGCAAATGCTTGAATCATGAAGGAAACACATGATATGCTCAGAAAGCTTCTCCAAAAGATCGCAGGGTCCAAACTTTTATGAATAAATTAACGAATTGAGTCTTGGCTAGCTAAAAGTTCGTTGGTTCTGAGAAGTTGAGATTACCATTCGCCATCCTTCCTTGGTTGGAGAACTCCGTCATCATAGTACTTATCGGCTGGTCCCCACACAGGATGGTTATGGAGCGCATCTAACCTGTCCTCCAACATATTCTGAGGGAGAAATAATGTCATTTTACTTAAAACTGAGCACATAGTTATCAAGTCAAGCATATTAGTATTGCTTTAGTAGTACATTACAGGACACCTGTAGTACATCCTATTACTATAGTATAACAGTCAAATGTCTCATAACGTTGAGGGTGATCTCTGCCATTTTCATTATTGCTTTTTAATGGGATTTCTGTTCCGAACGCGAAAACATTATGTATGCACCTTTGAAATAATTTCTATTCCCGTCTGATTCGTTAAAATCCTTTGCGAAAGTTATTTATAAATATCACCTATCAGTAATGAAATTGACAATAAAGATCTCACATATCTAACAAACATATCTCACATATCTCACATATCTCACATATCTCACATATCTCACATATCTCACATATCTCACATATCTAACAAACATATCTCACATATCTTACATATCTCACATATCTCACATATCTCACCATATAATCAGGATGAAGTTGGAAGGGTGCGGGGTTTAGGACGTATTTCTTTATCAAATAGAAGATAGGGAATGCGAGTGAGATGAGCCAGAAGAAACCACCAAACACCTGGAACCCGTAGGAGGGAGGGTACTGCATCTCAGCGAATGTTACCGGATGGTAGGCTCGGTAAAGTTGAATTCTGTCCTCCTGTAGAATGTTGTGTTTAGTTAATTTATCTATCTGTTTAAAATATTCCTCTTTTAAAAATAGTTTATGTTCCAGTTCAGTATTGAGAACCTTCAGACGCAACTTACAAGTTAATGTCTTAAACTGAGTTTCCTTACAATTCAGGATGACATCATTGCATACATCTAGAACCCTCGGCCTCATAGAAGGTTTATCAATGTGATGAGCAGGATGAGCCAATAATGCGCATAATTGAGGTGAAGTATTCTTTAGAGAATAGAGACCTTTACAGCATCAGATTCCAAATCATTGTCCAAATTCAAACACATTGTGTGTACAAGCTAGGCTACAGTGACTAAAGTGACGAGATTTCAATCTGTTGAGGGATTGCTATCCAGCATACGTCATGACAAAGGTTTCACCCTTTAACCATAGTTATGGGTATGTCGATCTTATCTCATTGTACGCAGCGATACTAAGTACACAAATCTGATAGAACGAGTGACGGCCGATGCGATGGTGCGAAAAAAAATTGCACAACGCGGTGATAAAGTACAACTGTAAATTGTATTTTATGTCAAAGAAAAGCACGTGTTATTGTTATAAATAATATATTAACGAAACAAGTATCTTAGCTCAAATTACATCGGTCAGTTCCTTCCAGTCTCCTTTAGCCTTTTCTTGGATAGCCGATTGTGTCTCGTCTAGATGACGGTACATCCAGTATGGCATGGTCGCAGCAACACTGAAATTGACACAATATGATTATATTCAAAGTATTCATTTGTTGTTCCAGTTCTTAATACTGTATATTATATATACCATTTAAAAAATTTGATTGGAATTGACTCAACATCTGTACGGTTAGGTGTGTCGCGATTATAATTTTGATAAGGACTGATCTAAAATATCTACACACTAGATACACATGGTACTACACACTAGATACACATGGTACTACACATGGTAAGATGGTACTACACATGGTACTACACACTAGATCAGATACACATGGTACTACACATGGTAATACACACTAGTAACTAGATACACATGGTACTACACATGGTACTACACATGGTACTACACATGGTACTACACATGGTACTACACACACTTACTCTTGAGGAGGAGGATAATGGGGAGGGTAGAACCTCAGAAACCGTTGAGGGGAACTCTGCTTCACCAAGGACATCAGACTTCTGGTGCTCGCCATTTTTATCTATCATAAGGTAAAACGTAAATTATTAATAGCTGTAGTAAATCCGCGATGGGGTGGCATAGGATAAATACATAAATTAATATTATATTAATATTATTAGCTTAGTGGCATACAAAAGAAATATTATCGAGTTTTACAACTGGTTTTTAGGAATAAACATGATCTGTATGATACGAACACACGTACCAATGTATAAAATATCCACGTCGTTAATTACATTAAACGCGATTATTAATTATAAAGAGGGTCACACAACTCGAGATAAATAGAAAATTAAACGGTTTAACGGTGTCAGATCAATTTGAAAGGTGTAACCTTCTCCATATTTCAATTCAGTGCTCCCAAATGTCCCGTCCAAACTTCCAAATAAATGTTTTATTTTAGAAATAGAATAACTGAATTCATCCGGACTATGAAGCCCTTACATTGGGCTACTATTACGCATGTCAGTACCTATTGGTAAGTTTTATCACTCTTTAGATCGTATTTTATCATGATATATGATATGATAGATTATAGATCTATTCATGATAGCACTGCACTGTGTATTATTATAGTTTACATGATAATAATAATAATAATAAAATTTGGTAGCTTAAACACAAACTCTAAGCCCAGTGGATAAACCACAAAACTTATGCTCTATTGTGTGAAACAAAGATACTAGATCAAGATAACTATCAAGGAGTGTATGCATAGGACATAAAAAGTTTTGGAACGAAGATGACATGCTTGTGAAGCGAGCTAACAGTCTAGTTGCTAACAAGTTCAAAAAGATCATGACATTAGGTTGCATCCTAAACAGTTTAAGCAAATAACATAAAGTTATTATATTGTCGATTAATCGCTCATGCCATAACTTTTCTTAAACAGGTGAGTTTTTAATAATGTTTTGAACAGATCAACATTGGAACAAGTCTTAATTTCAATTGGTAGTTGGTTCCAGATTTTCGGAGCAACAGTCTGAAACGCTCTTGGGTGTGATCTTGTAGATCCGACGGGTAGGTGTAAGGAGGAAGTTCTTCTGCTACTCGAACTAACAAATGTTACTAGATCACACAGATATGCAGGAGCAACACCATTGACGGCTTTGAAAATCAGTAAGCATAACTTAAACTCAATCCTCTCCTTCACCTTGAGCCAATGAAGGGATTTGAGCTTCTCCTCGACTGAGTCTCTCTTCTTTAATCCAAAAACCAGACGGCATGCTCGGTTCTGAATGTTCTGCAGCTGCGTAATTGAGGCTTGACTACAACCATAGTAAAGTGCATTGCAGTAGTCAAGCGATGAGATTACAATTGCTTGAGTCAGTGTTCCCATCTGTTTGGTTGTGAGGAATGTTTTCATCTTAGCAAGGTCTCTTAGTTTCAGAAAACACGATGTTTTAAGTTGCTTGATTTGCTCACCAAAGTTTAGTTGAGAGTCGAGACGAAATCCGAGGTTCTTTGCAACAGGTGACAGCCTGACACACGTCTCAGAGTTAACAAACACGCCCCCTATAGACAGCTGCTGGAGAACAAGCGGTGTCCCAAAGACAAGAATCTGGGTTTTTCCTGCATTGAGCTGTAGATAATGTTTTTTCATCCAGTCATTAATTTCTTGGAAACATTTGGGAACATCGTTGATAAGGACGGTGGGCTCCTCGTTTGGCTTGAAACTTTTATACAGCTGATGATCGTCGGCGTAACCCTGGATGGAGAAGTTCAAATCATGTGCTGCTGAGTACAAAGAGCGAATGTAGATGTTGAACAGGACCGGACCCAGCACAGAGCCCTGTGGGACTCCAAACTTAATCACTATCTCATAAGATTCCTCATTTCCAACTTTAATCGTTTGACATCTACCTGTGAGGAAGCTGCTGAACCATTTCCAAGCTGTCCCTGTTATTCCCAACTCATTTCTGAGGATGTTCAGTAGTTTGCAGTGGTCAACTGTATCAAAAGCTGCGCTGAGATCTAGGAGAAGAACAACAGTTGCCTTGCTTTCTGTAGATGCAATGAGTAGATCGTTAACAACTCTCACAAGCAGAGTCTCGGTGCTGTGTTTTGATTTGTATCCAGACTGCTGTGGGATGTTCAGGTTGTTGTTTTCTAGATGTTCATTTAGACGCCTGAGCACTACTCTTTCTATCAACTTGCCCACAAAACTAAGGTTAGATATTGGTCTGTAATTCTTGAGATTATCACTATCTAATCCCTGGCCCTTGATCAGGGGTGTGATATGAGCTAGTTTAGCGCCATCAATACTGCCAGAAGATAATGAAGCATTTACTATGTCAACTAAGACGGGTAGTAGAACCTCAAGGTTTTCTTTAAAGATGTTTGCAGGTAGAGGGTCAATTGAAGAAGACTTGATCTCAGATGCCTTGATTATCTCCTCTAGTTCTTCTAGAGTAGTTGGAGAGAACTCAGCTAGTTTTTCTCCGCAGTAAGAGGGCGTTTGCTCCCTATCTGACTAATATAATCGTTACAAAACTTGGTCATTAACTGTAGTTTTAAAAAGATACATTTTATAAGCTCTATTCTGCTTAACCCACCCTTCACTAGAGAATAATTTAATTGATGCATAGTTTTCATGATATATGCTTAAGGAGGGTCCAAAACTACGGGCATCCTTAATGGTGTTGTACATTTGCTTAACTATGAGTCTCGCAAGGCCCGTCCTACGATGAGAGTGTAAGACATGCAATTGTCCGGCAGTGCCATCAGAATAAACATTCATCCAGCCGACTGGAAACTCTTCATTTTTATGAAATACGGCAACATGTGGCCGCCTTATGTTCAGTGCAACATACTTTTCATATTTCTTATCTCCTTTGTGCGGTGTTACTCCAATATCTTGAGTCCAGATGTTTGTAATGAACTCTACATGTTTGTTTTGAAGTGTTCCGAATCTGTATCCGTCAGGTAAGTCGGGGATAACTTCACAGGTGATCGCAGCACTTGAGCTTGGTAAATACATATCATATTTATATTTCCCAGTGGCAGTGTAGCTATTATTCGTTACTTTGTTGAATTTGTTGAAGAATGTATCCATAAATCTCTCTGACTGCAAAGAAAGGGCTACCATATCCATACTCATTTTAGAAACGATGTATGGCCTAAAAACTAGCTCACAAAACTCAGTCCGGTCAGCTGAATTAGAATGTTTGTCACAGTGAACATTTACTGAACCAATCTCTCCACGAGAAGACAGCCCATAAATCACAGAGAAGTACAGCCCACCTTCAGATCGATAAGATTCGATACAAACCGGCTCTTCCTCTGCATTTAACCATTTGTTTTCAAAGCTGCTAAGAGCTTGCTTGTAGAGTAGATTCTCATCCAGAGAGATTTCGGACGAATGCAGATTTTCACATTTTTTCATGATAGTACCGTTAATTGCTACCCAGTACCTTCTGAAGATTTGGGAGATAAAGAGTAAGAGATTCAGTAATTAAGTGACATGGTTTTGTATAGAAATTGATAATATCGCACATGATTAGGACTGACCACTGGGCTAGAACAAGCTATAACTTAGAATCGGTTTGGAGAAGTACAAATTATTTTCAAAAAACATGATGATATCAATTTCTGCGATACACAGTCCTCCAGCTCCCTCTTTAATTTTGTGAAACAATAAAACCGGCACAAATAGATTCTATAAAAATTACCATTACAGTCCAAAAACGTTCACCATTGGAATAACAAGTACGTTTTTAAGTTTAATTCTTCCAAACTTATTGCAAGTTTCAACTCACTTCGTGTGTTAACCTGTTTAGGTTTACCTCCAGTCTTGCCATCTACTTAATTGTAATAAATGAAGTGTGGCAATGACATTTGGACTTCCTTCCCCCAATTTAAAACGATTTTAGGAGTAAAAGTGGCCTGTAAAATTTCGTCTCGCACTTATCCATCCAAAGGCATTTTATATCAGGTGTTTAGTTTTGTATTTGAAATTATGAATACAAATTACTAAAAATTACATACATTTTATTATTTAAAAGCATAAACAACTGCAACATGCACGAAAAGCTCTTATAAACTGAAGCCAGCTCAGCTCAAATCATATTAATTCATTAATTAATCAACAAAGAATTAATGAAAGGGTATAGATAGGATAGGTCTCATAAAAGTTAGAGTATAACATTTTGAAAATTTATAAACAATATCAGCGTTCAAATATCATCAAAATATGATTCACCTTGATACTTATCAATTCAAATTAATCAGATCTTATTGTTGGGCCAGCACCTAGCCAATAAATATTTGTCATGAACTGGATGACACTGTTTCAAGTTTTAGACCCAGATGGTCGACTAGAGACTGAGGCAGACACAAAACAGGGTTAACTTTAGCAAGATGCTGATCACCCAGGAGAGATAAACCAGCCAATCCAAACAGAGTGTGAAAAGGGTCCACCATGTCCCCAGGCCGATCTGCAAACCCACCGGTCTCTTCATCTTGAGATGCCAGGATGAACTTTATCAAACTAGGCTTATCCAGCCAATGTGTCCGTCCGATTATCTTAAGAGATGCTAAAACCCACCAACTATAACATACGTCAGGTAATTTTTCAGGTCGCCCATTTAAACCACCGGAAGGGAGCTGACGCTCACATAACCACCACGCCAGCTGATCAACATCTAGCAGGTGCAGTTTATGAGCAATAGACAGAGCACCCACACAGCAGAACACCTGCCCTGCATGCGACTCTGATCCAGGGACACAACCAAATGCTCCGTCAAAGTTTTTACATCGCAACACAAAATGGACTCCTTTGTTGACATCACAGTCACTAAGTCTATCGAGTATAGTGAGAGTTGCAAAGGCACAGAAAGTGAACCTTGTGTCAACCTCACCCCACTCGTCACCCCAGAATGAGCCGTCAGTTTGCTGTAACGTAACCACATAGCTAACCACTTTGTCTTTATCTACATCATCTAGCCTGTTGATCATTGCAAGGATTTGTATAGCACTAAGAGTGTATAATAGGTGAGGATCATGATTTTCACTGGCACCAAAACCACCTTTCTCTTCGTTGTAACATGACATTACAAATTTGAACAAGTCATCCTCCTTCAAGTGACCATCGTTTAGCAGCTTCAATGCAGTGAGGCACCAGTATACTCCGCTAGTGCGCAACCACTCCGACATCACATACTCGTAGGAGTTCTGATTCTTAGCATAACCTAGAATAAAGTCACGGTGCTTTACAAGATAGAGCTGGGAGGGAGCATCGTCTTTGAGGATCACATCTTTATGGAAACCCGACATCAGCTGAAACAAGATGGTAAAAACCAATATAAGATAATAAATATTGACACAATACCAAATAGCCGATTGTGATCACAGTATGCATATTGCATATAATGCATTATATTATGTATCGAGTCAATTTATGACATAACAAGTTGTGTCAGCCTATAAAAAACATCAACGCGATTATCGTTAATTATCATTAATCATTAATTTATTAATGATTAAATCCGGTGTTTCTTATAAACCGGACCGGATTTAAATTGTCAATTCTCCGGCTTTAGTCAGATATTCGGTTGGTTTTTTAATTAATAAAAAATATTACAAAAGTAATTAACGAAACTCCCCAGTAAAACACCAGTTGGTAGTTTATTATTTGATTGATGCCCGTCACATTGCCCAATATGTGAAAAATTAAAATTATCAGTCAATGTTTTTAACAAATAAGCTAATACCCATTTGGCAAAGAGACAAAATTATACAAAATTAACAATTATAGATTATTTTTAATCTATACAATTAATATCAATTAACATCATACAAGTCTCCCCTACTAATCAAGACATTAAATCGAATACCAAAAATAAATTATTTCTCCTATATGAGATTTAAAAAGTCAAAACATCAAAAACACTGAAAAGAGGAGTAACTTACTCCAAGAATTCTGTCCATGATTACTTTAATAATTGTGCAACATTTGATTGGTGCACAGTGCACATGATGTCTCCGTCGTGTATAAACTAATTACAACACTATAAATCTATTACATTTATCGAGGACGTTACAGAAGAATAAATCCCAAATTTGTGCAATTTTTTAAACTAATACTATAGTGTTGTCGGTTAAAGTTGGCCCCTGACTGTGACCCTTGGAGTTGGTTCCACTTTGTTTTGTCACGTACCAGAATAAACCAAGCAAACACACGAGCAGCAAAGTAAAGTACAGGGGACAAATTCAATTACTAGCACTAGAAACACTACGAGGAGGCACTCATTAAAACTTTACTATCATGTATAATCAAAACAGCTAAAAATATATACAAGTTTAGTGTTGGTTAACGTAAATAACAATGATAAGCATAAAATCCTAAAAAGTTAATTTTGATTAAACTTTAAGATCAATGAAATTAATCAAATTGCTCCAAAACTCATCTGAAAAAGGGGGTATCATCTGTCTGTGTTTAGGAAACGTCTCACAAGAGTAAAGATGTGATATATTTCTGGGTCTACTGTCCGAATCTGATGGTTTAAAAATTGTCATTTTTTCTCGGGCAAATTTACTAACCCTCATTAGATGACCCTCTGTTGTAAAAATAAAATCACTTCTTTTGTTCAAAACATTATCTTGATCAAACAAGAGATATAAATACTTGCACGTTTCACTGAGAAAGAAGCTTTCCATTCGGTCTTCTTGCTTTTTACTGATAACACTATTTAAAGTAGCGTAACCACATCTTGCTTTATTGTACATCTGAATACTGTCATAGATTTTCTCGCCTACAAACAAATAGAAAGGGTGTCGTGTAGCTTGGAACAGCAAATAAGTAGCCTCTGCAAATTCAGGCCTCAAGGGATACAGGGCATATTCACATTTCTTAAGATACCAGTTGTATCTCTCTGGGAGAGCATCGTATTTTAGCCACAAGCCATAGAATAAAGCATGATGGAGGATGGCTGCCTCAAGATCACCGTGAAGTATTTGAACACCAACAAAGGCTGCCGATAAGCTGTCAATCCAATGATTTTGTAGTTTTCCAGTTTTCATATTGACATTTGCAAAATAATATGGATTGTCATAGATTGACAAGTTACTGTCATCCACAGAAAACCGTTTCATATATTTTACAATACTGTCATAATGATTACTGAATCTAGATAGATCCTTTTCGTCACCAAATAAGATAAAGGACTTCAGAAGATACTCAAAATAAGAATCTATTCCTGCACCAATACCACTCATAGGATCATCCCAAGATCCAGATTTTGTGTTGTAAACATTACCAATGAGACCTGTCTTGCTGTCTCTTAATTCCCATAGTTTATCCATAGCACGCTCTGCAACAACTTCAAATATTGGGTCTCCAACTAATCTACCCAACATTTTAAATTCTAATATTAGGGTTCCTACTCCAGCAGTGCAGGTAGATTCACTGAACAAGTCAGATTTTCCGTGACGTAAATTTACCCTTGGAATTGGCATATGATCTGAATTTTCAAAAGCTGGTAACAGTCTTGCACCCAAATCATGTGCTAACGTCAGCAATTCATTGTCATAGTTATCAATAGTCACATTGAAGACATCAGTCCATTCTGTTACAATGAGATGGGCACTAAGGAGAGATCCTAACATTCGGATTGTACTTTCAAACACTTGAACTGTGCATTCTTGATCAAATGAAACTGTATTTATAACATATTCCACAGCACTTTTGAAATATTTTTTGTCCCCCATGATTGCTAAGGTATCCAAGGAATCAACCAATCCCAATGAAAAATTACCAAGGGCATCATTAATATTTATGTTACTGGGATTATCATAATCTGGTCCACGTCCATTGCATTCATGAGGGTTCAGTTCGTCCATTGGAAAGGCATGATTCATATAGTTATCATATCCAAAATAGAACATCTCACGAACCTGAAAAAAATAATCAGTAATTTAAACAAATATTTAAATAAGAATGGAAACACTTGTTATTCAAAAGCCTCGCAAGTAAAAATATAATTCTCATTAAGTTAAGAAACAGTAATAAAATTAGCCCTGCAAATTTCAGAATTGGACAGAGTATTTCAAACCTCCTCCATGAAAAGCATCTTAATATTGACTGAAAAACTTACCTTTCTTTTGAGTATCTGATTCCTTTTGTGAGGAAAGTGCATGGCCAAGTCTGAACAGAACAGTTGGAACACTATTATCCACCACATACCTCATGTACATTGGACTTAAAAACCTAATCTGAAATGATTGTGTTAGAAGAAAATTATACTGTTTTGAAACTAAAATGTGATATCTATCAGCTGCTTTTAGACTCACGGAAAAAGTCGTTTCTAGCTAAACCTATGCCGGTCAGTGCATGCCACTTGCCTGCAATTGTATTGCACAAGCAATGTTTGATTGTGCACCCTGAAAATTGAGCCCAACTATGTTTGTGAGCAATCATCCTCGAACTTTCCACCCTAAAACAATGTACACAGATAAAATGGTTATTGTCTAACTATAAGGTGAGACACACATAATAATAATAATAATAAATTAATGTTATTTTTATACAGCACCAAAAGGTTAAATATTTTAAATTTAACCCTTATGCTCAGCTGTAAATGATACCTAAATGACAGTAGAGATCGTGCATCTCGCCTTGGACTGGAGTAAATACGGAAGTTTAAAGCTGCAAGTTAAATCCAATTGGCTGACTATAAGGTCATGGCCTGAACAAATAATTTTTTTAAATAGTCAAGTGATGCTAAAGCAGAGCACAAATGTGTAATAAGTTAATAGATTAAAAAACTGATTCATGTGATGCATTACGCAGAGCACAGATAAAAATACTGATTCAATGATTAAAATTATAGCTGTGAGTGTCAATAAATTACTGTGGCATAAAAAAAGGAGCGATGTACACGTGATCTGAGATACCAATATCTCAATATTAAAAGGATTGTGTCTAGAAACATTCATAGTTTCTAGGTTAGACACACTCAAAAATAGAACTCAACTTATAAATCAAAGAGTTAGAAATTTTAATTAAACTCAGAGAAAAACCTGATCACAAAATCCCGAAAAAACACTTAAAACATATGATACAACACACTACACAGTGTAAGTTCCCACTGGCTTTTACAGGCTTTTACTAAACGAACATCTCTTGTGCATTTGTGATCTAGGGAGTATATATCAGATTCAGGACCAAATAGCATATTATATTGTAGCGCGATGCGCTACTGTACCTCGCCGAGCTGCGATGAATTGACATCGTCAATTAACATATTATAGCATAGTATAGCATATTGGCACGATGCTTACAGTACACTACAATGTATAAGTACTGAAAGGGTATCCTAAGAAGATTCTTGATTTTTTGGCAGGAGCTCCTTCTCATTTAACAGCTAGACCTTCAATTCGGCTGAGTCGAACGAGGAGAGATTATACAGGTGTGCAATTTTGCATAGACCAATGCACAATGGATCCTTAGCTAAAAATAGTATTCAAACAATCTCTACTATAATTCAGAGAATTGTTTTTGTAGAATGTATGTATGTACGACCGCCCACGTGCAAATTAGATGAAAAATAGGAATTTAGGTAACAACCAAAACGTTCCATAGCAACGGTGTTTTAATGCACACATGCACATGCAAAGATTGTTTTAACGTCATTTTGATCGGTTTTGTGATAATTACGTTGTGTTTAAAGTGTTTTATATTTAAATCGGCTGAATCTTCGGTCGGGGTGAACCTTTTTTGATGCGATTAAAACTTTCTTTCAAAGAATACTACTAGCTTCGTCCCTGTTACCACGGGCTTTCTAGTCTCTACTATAATTAATAATAATAATAATAATACTACTACTAATAATAATAATACTACTACTAATAATAATAATACTACTAATAATAATAATACTACTAATGGGTCAGAGCAGGATCAACAACCTAACATCGCCCCTCCAGCTCGCCGTGAGAGGAAGGCTCGCACTGAGACTTCCACTCGTCACACGTGGAGCAAGGAGGACAACATACAGCTCATGACGCTGTATTACCAGAGCCAACCATCCCGCTCTGGTTACAGAAGGAGACTCCGGTCACTGTGGGATGATGCCGGACTCTTCACTTGTACAGAACAAAGATTGGCAGACCAAGCAAGGTCAATCAGAAATAATAATCTCCTCTCAGACATAGAACTACTGGAGATTCGAGGTACTCTTCCACCTAGTGTAGTGGAAGAGGCTCCAACAACAACAACTCAAGCTCTACCCACAGTCTCCCAAGCAATCAGGACGTTGAGGGATGCAACTATCCCAACTGTTGCCGCCGAAGAACTCAACCCCACCGCAACGGTACCTGATTTTGACAAGGAGGCAATCATTGAGCGGCTAAAAACCCTCTTAGAAGACCCTTCAGTGATAGAAACCAAGCCCCTGAGACATGTGAACAGAAAGAAGCTTATGGAGGAAACATCTCTCATCAACTCATGTATAGCAGAGATTCCTACTTCTTCAATCACTGAAACCAACACTCTATTGCTTGCAGGAGCACATTTAGTCAGCGAAAGACTTGGCGAAAAACCTGCAAATAAGAATACAGAGAAGCGGAAAACTCCGCTATGGAAAAGAAGAATCGAAGATAAGATTACCCAGGTGAGGAAAGACATCTCTTATCTTGAGGAGAAGAAGAAAGGTATTACCCTTAAGGCCAGAGGGGGGGGGTAAGGGGTCAAAAAATTCTACCAAAATATTATTTTCTAAATCGATTTAATTTTTGATGACAAAAACATTGCTGCTATTCACATATTTGTAGCTGATTAACTTTATTTTATAATTGAGGTTAACCGATTTTCACAAAATTGACTATACAACATTGAGGTTAATAAAATTGAGGTTCATATTTTATTACACGCCATAATTTTTTGTTATTTCGGTCAGCAAATGTAAACTCTAAATTTTAGGTTCATAATTATAAGAAAAAGTAATATCCAAACGTGATTAAATGAGGTTAACCTCTTCTTTTAGATATAGCGAGAATAGATCAAATGATAGAGTTATTATTTTCATGGTAAGTTTACGGTATACAAATTTCTAAATAGATGACGTGTTGATTGACTTTACTTTTATCTTGAGAAAATGAAAAAAATGAGGTTAACCATCACATTTTGGTACCGTAGGGAATATACATACGATTCTTACTTATGTAATGTACCACAATATCGAAGTGAGGTATCTATTGGTATCACAATGCCTACAACTATAATCACGTGACAAAGGTGATTTGAACTGACCATATTTTAGTAGAAGATTTTACCCGTAAATGGCTAAAAAATGAGGTTAACCTCTCATTTTTTGAATATCTGACCAGTTAATTACATGTTAACCTCAAAACCTTAATCGTTATACTGTGCAAATGTTTTACTACATATATAATAACACATTGATAAACCAATCCCAGTGTTATATGGTCTAAAGCGAGGTTAACAACCAAATTTTAAGCAGTTAGTGTTTACAGGAAGTCTTGGTTAACCTCATTTTTTACAATACAAGGACATTAACTACTGAAAGTGGCTAAAATCATTTAGGGGACGGCCAGGTCTGATCAAGCAAACGTTATTAAGTGTATAAAAAGTCCTAACTAACGAACTGTGATACATTCCAGTGAATATTCAAAATTTTGAAAACACTAAATTGCATCTATCTCAAAACACATTTTTTGACCTTTCGATTCCTTAGTTGAGAAAACTGGCCACTCCCTGATCTTGACGTTTGGTACAGTGGTTCCTTAGACAATTGTCCTCATTTATTATGTGAGCGATTTTTTAAATTTGACTCGGTTCTCGAATTATGAGGTTAACCAGCTAAATTTTCCGAATTTTTGACATGGTTAACCTCATAATTCGAGAACCGAGTCAAATAAAAAAAATCGCTCACATAATAAATGAGGATAATTGTCTAAGGAACCACTGTACCAAACCTCAAGATCAGGGAGTGACCGGTTTTCTCAACTAAGGAATCGAAAGGTCAAAAAAGTTACAGCCGTTTAAAGATCCAGTTTAACATGTAATTACAGGTAAACCTCAAAATTTAGCGCGCGATATCTCAGGAACGCAAGGTCAGATTTTGATCCGGTTTTTTTCTTCTTGTTCGTCTTCAGCAGCTTATATCAAATATGTGAAAACTAGAAAAGTGCCATTTACCCCCCCCCCTCTGGCCTTAAACAAAAAATACTAGAAGGGCTCAACAGACGTCACCCCCTGTTGAAGAAAAAGGGCATATCATGCATCATTGAGGAGCTCAAGCAACGTCTTCGTGCAAAAGCAGCTAAGATAAAGAGATTTAATAAAAGATGCGAACGATACCACCAGAACAAGTTGTTTGGAAACAACCAGAGGCAGTTCTACAGAAACCTTCAAACAAACCCTGAAGAACAGGATATCTCCCACCCTGAGGCTGACAAGGATTCTTGTTTGAAGTTCTGGAAGAACATATGGGAGCAGCCGGTTGAACATAACAGTGATGCTGAATGGTTACCGGATGTCAGAACAGCACTAGCCTCAGCAGATGAACAGCGACAGTTTGTTATAACTAACACCCTGGTTGCAGATAGAGTGAAGAAAATGACCAATTGGTCCTCTCCTGGTACAGACGGACTGCATGCTTATTGGATAAAGCACTTTAAAGAACTCCACAATAGGATTGCAGATCAACTTATGAATTGCCTAACCAATGCTGATATCCCAGACTGGATGACATTGGGACGCACGTACCTGCTCATAAAAGACCACTCCAAAGGACCCATCCCAGGCAATTTCAGACCTATTACATGCTTATCAGCTATGTGGAAACTGTTCACTGGTCTAATCTCAGATTCCATATACAACCATTTAGACCAGCAAAAACTCCTCCCCCCTGAGCAGAAAGGGTGCAAGAAGAAGAGCAGAGGATGTAAAGAACAGTTAATGATAGACAAACTCATTCTGAAGAACTGTAAACGAAGGAAGCGGAACCTGAACATGACGTTTATAGACTACAAGAAGGCGTATGATAGCGTCCCACACTCTTGGATTCTGTCTTGTTTGACCATGTGTGGTATCTCTTCATCCATCATAGATCTGTTTGAAGCCTCCTTCAAACAATCGTATGTTAACCTGATGCTTGGTAAAGTTTCCCTTGGGAGAATTAAAATTAATAGAGGTCTATTCCAAGGAGACTCAGTATCACCTATTCACTTTATTATGAGTCTTATACCCCT